GCCAGTTCACAGCGTGCCTAGGTCGTGGACATCGCGCGTGCTGCGAAATCCACCCGCCTTTCGGAACGCACGCGATGATCGCAGGCGCAGCGACTACCGCGCTCCTCTCAGTGGCGCAGGAGCTATGCGCATCGCGAGCACTCATTCCTGATGAGGTATCTGACGCGGAGAGAGTTTTGCAGCTTCCGCAGCAACTCTCATTGGCGATAGCAACTAATGGAGAGATAGCAATTCTGCGATGATCGGCCCGAACGCATGCACACATTGCAAATGAGTCAGCAGCAACGGTTGGGCGACAAGCTTAGCCCCGTCCAGCGCTGCCTGTGACGTTTTAAGGTATTCCGAAAGTCAGATCGCCTGCAAGAGCCCCCTCCCCTTAAAAAAAAAATTGTTGGTACCTCCTGAAATTCGCCTATTCAATAGGAAGGTTTTTTTAGTTTACGGTCCGCTTTGTTCGTGAGATTGAGAACAATGAAGCGTGCAGCTTCCCTGAGCATGGGGCTCCTTGCGTGAAAAAAGAAGAAAAAAAACCTCGGGCTTCGGCTAGCGCTGAGAGGACTGCAGGGGATCGCGGGTAATAAGAAAGGCGCTTTTTGAGGCTGAGGCTGAGTTTCTTAGCAAATGAAATACAAACTATGCTTAACTCTGCTTAAATTACATACAAACAATGCAAAAAATGAGTCAGTTTCTGAACACGACGGTTTCTTATTGCCCACGATCCCCTGTAGTCGAGAGAACTAGTCGAGAGAAGGACTTGATCGGTACGTCATGTTGGGTACGCCGATCTGGTCCTTCTCTCGACTAGTCCTCTCAGCGCTAGCCGGAGCCCAAGTCCTCGGGCAGCAGGCTGAGTTCATTTCTACATCTTACATCAGCAAAAGTAACAGGCGGCAGAAGCTCCGAAATCCCAACGTAACAGCTAAAATTCGTTACTGCGCCCGGACTGGATATCATCTACTGATAGTCCAGTCAGTGTCTGCGGCTAGACCAGCTCCACGCTGGATTCCCTAGCCTGACAACAACTTAAAACTTAATGCATCCTGTACAGTACTCGAGTGAACAACACCCGTGTTGAACCATGCTGAGCCGCTATATTGACTGATAGGGATTCAAGCTGGCGTCTGACTGTTCTGAATGTTGTGCTGGTCTGAGCGCTGCGTAGCCCATTGCCTGCTGCGTGCCTTAGTCGGCTGCGCTGGCTTGGGCGCCACCGCGCGTGCCAATGGATCTCCGGCAGTGTGCCCAGGCAAGGGCGTTTAGGGAGATGATCTGCTGGTTGCTGTTTGTCGTGTTCCCAAGCTGGGCAGCGATCGGGGCCAGCGCGCTCAAGCGCGCGAGCAGCAGCTGCGCATGGCCGCGTGCCGCGATCGTACCGATCGTGTCGATGAGCTGCTTCTTGATGCGCGCGGCCGCCTCCATCGGACTCACGCCCATCAGCGCGTACATCTTACGGCCTCCCTGCGCCGCGATTTCTTTGACGAGCGAGTGAGCCGCTATATATATATATATCCCTCATCCGATGGATATATATATATATAGCGGCTCAGCATGGTTCAACAGGTGTTGTTCACTCACTGACTTGGTCGACGTCAGACGTAAGTCCTGGCAGCAGGAATGGTGGTGGTAGAGGGATATACTCCACAGGCAATGGGCGACGCATCGCTCAGACCAGCACAACATTCTGAACAGTCAGACTTTAGCTTGAATCCCTATCATAAACATACTCTACAGGGGATCGCGGGCAATAAGAAGGGCGAATTCTGAGCTTGAGGCTGAGCTTCTTAGCTGCTTCTTCGGGGTCGACGGATGAGCAGGCTCAGCTTCTTAAAGCCTTCGGCGCCCTTCATATTAATTAAAATATTTTAAGAATGGGCGTGAACTTGAACAAACAGTTACGCCCGGCCGCGCGCCTCGTCGCGACTCGCGCGCGCGCGCGCTTGCAGTGCTCTCGTGTGAGCGGCTGTCCTGGCGCGGCTCCATATGCTCATGTAGTAACGAAAACTGCTTAATGAGCTCCCAAAAAGTCATTTTTTCTTCGGCTTGGGGGGGACCCCCGGGACCTCCCCCCCTTCTCCGGACCCTACCCTCCGCTTCTTATTTAGTTTAAGGAGCTGGCTTTCAAGCAGGCTCGGCTTCTTCTGGAAAGCAAAAAACGAGGCTCAGCTTCTTAACGGCACGGCTTCTTATTGCCTGCGATCCCCTGTATAGCCTTGCCAGGCCGTCTCTGGCTCCAAGATCCTAGCCAGGCTAGTCCTAGCCCTGGCCCCAAAGGTAGCCGTACCCCCTAAGCCCTCCTGAGGTTGCGAGGTACAGCAAGAGCTGCGGGACTAAGAAGCACTGTAGTATAGCTACGGCGAGGAAAAGCTACGGCGAAGAGGAGCTGCGGCGATCTCGATCAAGACACGCGCCACCAGATGGAAGCCTGCCTCTCGCATAGGGCATGTGCGCCATCCCTGGGAAGCTGCCTCGCCCTCCGACTCGAGGTCAATGGCGGTGGTCGTCGTCGTTGTTTATACCGTACTCGGCTCTGGCTTCGGTCACCCCCCCCCCAGCCCGCAAGTGGGGGACGACCATCCATAGCATTGCGACGGATTGCGAGCCTCCATGCTCGAAGCCAGAGCTCGCTCTAGGCTCGCTGGAATCGTCTCGGCGAGCTTTATTTTGCACATTTTTCAGAAATTTGTGAATTCGTGTCCGTGGGGTAGTAAATCAGTAACTAACAAGGTGATCTTTCTTGAAAAGGTGATCCGCCATGCTGAAATCGTTCACCAGCCCCCTAACCCAGTTTTAGTGTGAGTTTTCCGTATGTATTTAAAATAATAGTTTAAAAAAGGAATGGTTTGTATGTAATTTAAGAGGTAAGTTACTTATTGGTGGGGTCGCTTTTTAAAAAGTTAGATACGAATGTACTGCAGATGTATATATTTAAAAATTAACTGGCCAGGTTTAGTGACTGGCTTCGGTAAATCGCTATGAATGGTCGTGTGCTGGGGGGGGATGACCTGAGCCATAGCTACTCGGAAACGGCGACTCCGCTCTCGAGAGGGGGACGGGGCTGGCAAAAGCAGTTGAAGTTGCCGGGCCTGCACACCGCCCCTCCCTAGCGCCAGGCCTCTGCCACTTTTAAACCGATGTAGACGCAGTCTAGAGGTTACCTTTGTTCATAAATTAAAATATCTAAATAAATAAATTTCGATGCGGTCAGCTGAATCGCTCTGCGGGCCATTGGTTGAAATGTACCGCAGCACGTAGCTCGGCCTGGCGTCGACGCCCGCCCGCACGCGATGGCTTGTTTAAGAGATCGCGCGAAGGCCCCAATTTTTTTGATCCCCGATCCTCGCCCGCCTCGCTCTTCGAGGTGTGTGCACGTCCCCTGTCACATACAGACGGAGCTCGTTTCTCGCCGCAGCCCGCCAGCTGTACCAACGCTCAAAACGATCCAAGAAACAAAAATCCGCTGCGCGGGCCGTTCCACCCACTTGGCAGCCGAGTGAGCGGTGGGTGGAGGCCGCTAGGGAGAAGTGGGTGAGTATATATATAAAGTCACCGTCGCTGTCGCCTCCGCAGCCTCCATCGCCGCTACCACGCCGCCGCCGCCACCGCCGCCGCCACCGCCGCCGCCGCCTCATCTCAATCTAGATCTCTCCAGCTTTGAGCTTCGGAGCGGGGTTTTAAAACTTGAGACAGCAGCTGGCGGCGTCCAGTCTGCACGCAAGGTCGCGGAGGAATACAGTCCCGGCCTGGCTGACGCCCCTGGGCAGCAACCTCCGCCGGCAGCTCGAACGCGCCCCCCGTCCGCGCGGGGTGCTTTGACACGCGATGTGGGTGCCGTGGGCGAAGCCAGTTGACCCCAAGGAGCAGGTGCGCAAGTGGAAGACCGACCTGCGCGCGGAGGGGCGCAAGCTCGAGCGGCAGGTGCGGCACATCCAGACGGAGGAGCTGAAGGTGAAGAAGTCGATCAAGGACGCGGCTAAGCGGGGCGACATGGCGTCCGCCAAGGTGTTGGCCAAGGAGCTTGTCCGGTCGCGCAAGGTGGTGAACCGGCTGCAGATTAGCAAGGTGCAACTCAACTCTGTAGTGATGCAGATGCAGGAAAACTTCGGTGCGCGCGCGGCTGCAGCTGCACAGCGGGTGGCGCCTCGCGCGCACGCCTGGCCTGCACAGCGCGCTGACTGGCTCTTACCCTCCCCACGCTGCTCCTCCCCACGCGAACCCGGCAGCTCAAGCCAAGGTGATGGGGCACATGCAGAAGAGCGCCGAAATCATGCGAGTGATGAACGGCCTGGTCAAGCTGCCCGAGATCGCCGCCTCGATGCAGTCGCTGCAGATGGAAATGGTCAAGGCGGGCGTGATCGAGGACCTCGTCGACGATGCGATGGAGAACGACGAGTCGGAACTCGAGGATGAGGCCGAGGAGGAGGTGGAGAAGGTGCTCGCGGAAATAACGTCAGACTTGTTCGAGAAGGCGGGCTCGACTCCCCTGGCCAGAGTGGTGCGCGCGCGCGCGCGTGCGCGTGTCCGGGCACCGCCGCGTCGACTGTCCACGCTTCCGTGCTAATTTGAGCGCCCGCGCCCGTCGCCCTTTTTGCGTGCTTCGCGCAGGTGGCGCCTGCCCAGGCGCAGGTAACGCAGGAGGCGGAGGAGGAAGACGACTCCGAAGTGCTCGCGATGCAGGCCAGGCTTGAAAGTCTGAAAGCGTCCTGACTCCTTTTGGGTCGCGTGGAGCTAGTTCCATGTTTGGTATTCCGCGGGCGCTTGGTCATATTTAGTCAAATCTTTTCTTTTGCTTATATTCGCTGTTATAACGATACATCGGTCGGCTGCAGCTGGCATGGCCGTAGCGGGCACAATCACTTTTCAAGCAGCAGTTCGTTAGTCGGTGCAAAATAAATAAAAATAAAATAGGTACAGTATCGAGAAACTACGGCATGTAAGTATTTCTATGGCTGCTTTACTCTCTCTGCGTGGAGTGTGTTGGACGTAATGCAAAAAAGAAAAGAAGTGCCGTCCGAGAATCGAACTCGGGCCGCCTCAGCCACGATGAGGAGTCATAACCCCTAGACTAACAGCACGCAAAACTACACTTTCGCCCGTTACCAAGTTTGAATTTAATACCTCGTTCATCACACTCATAAACTCAATTGGCAAAACAGCACCCCACCCACTCCAGTCCCGAGCGGATTATACACGACCAGCCAGCTCACCTGCTATTCGGAAGCCACGATCTTTGGGACGGCACAACGGGAAATCGGAAGTGATATTTGGCAGTAACTCAACTTGTTCTCTCCTTTGTTCAAACCAAAGGTCCTTTGGTCCCCCGCATGGCAAGAAGTGAGAGACTGGTGAGAAAATAGTCTCAAAAAGGGAGCGGCACATAACGGCAAAAGAACAATTAAAAGTGCCGTCCGAGAATCGAACTCGGGCCGCCTCAGCCACGATGAGGAGTCATAACCCCTAGACTAACAGCACAGATGGCGATAACATATTTCACAAATTTACGGTATTTCATCCGTATGCTCATTTTTGTAATAGCCTGTTTTGCCGCGAGTCATCCCGTTTCGAGGCCCTGGTGCTGATGACCACCTCGTCCACCTATGTTCGTGCAGATAACCACCCCATTTATCACTAGCGAGGCAAGGGAGACTAACCTCATAAATCGAATGCCGTGAGAACGCGGGCGCAACTCAATCTTGCACGACATAGTTGGTGTGATAGTCACTTAGTTCGGAGGTGCCACTCATCACTGGAGCCGCTCGAGATATCGCTCGAGCTCGAGCACGGAGCCGACGGTGACTGTCGGGCGCGGCGCGCCTTCGTGTGGGTCCGGCGCATCCCCTCGCACCCACACGGTGGCGAGGAGCTCGGCGTTGATGCCACCCTGTATGTCGGTGTCGAGGCGGTCGCCGACCATCACCGTCTCATCCGCGCGCGCGCCGATGAGCGCGAGGCTAGTCTCGAAGATGGACCGCGCAGGCTTGCACTCGGGCTGCTCGCCCGAGACGACGACCCGCTCGCCGAAGAGGCCGCGCAGGTCGCACGCGCCCGCCTTGGCACGCTGCACCTCGGCGTGGCCGTTGGTGACCACGCCCGTCCTATACCCGTCCGCCTGTAGCCGCTGCACCATCGCGCGCACGTCTGGCGCGAGCACAAACTTGGCGAGCCGCGCGCTCGACCAGCTATCGTGCACCTCGCCGGCGAATGGCTCGCCGCCGCCGCGTGGCGCGAGCGCGCGCGCCCAGAGCCGCGTGCGCCAGACGGCGATGGACTCCGCCGAGCCGGCTGGGGGGAAGGGCTTGGCCCCGAGGAGCACGACGAACGCGGCGGCCATGCCTGCCGCCTCCTGCGGGCCGAGCCCGAGCCGCTTCGCGCCGAGCGCGCTCGCGCCGGCGATCGCCTCCGCGTCGATCTGCGAGGTCGGCACCAGCGTGTCATCGAGGTCAAACAGGACTGCGTTGCAGCGGCGGCCCGGCGCCGCTGCAACCATCGCCCTGCGCCCGCCGGATAGTCGCAGCGTGTTTGCCCTTACCTCGGCCGCCGCGCGCGCGACTTTTTTTCAAGTGTATGTGGATAATCGTGCAAAAGCCTTTATTTTTTTATTCGGCGGCGGCGGCGGCGACGGTGGTGGCAGCGGCGGCGGCGGCGGCGGCGGCGGCGGCGACGTGGCAGTCTCGGCAGGTAAGGAGGCCGAGGCGGCGGCGGCGGCGGCGGCGGCGGCGGCGGCGACGTGGCAGTCTCGGCAGGTAAGGAGGCCGAGGCGGCGGCGGCGGCGGCGGCGGCGGCGACGGCGGCGGCGGCGGCGACGGCGGCGGCGGCGGCGACGGCGGCGGCGGCGACGGCGCGTGGCGGCAATGGAGGCTGCGGAGGCGACGGCGACGGAGACGGAGTGTGGCTTTGGACGAGA